TTTCATATATGGTATATGAAGGAAAAAGTCTCTTTTTAGTTTTATGATCCAATCTTTTTTTTTTTTTAACTTATGGGGTGTTTTTACACATTAGAGATCTATCTTTTACACATAAGAGATTTATCTTTTACAAAAAAAAAATCTAATTTTTTTTTTAATTTCAACTGAAAAAAGCCGTGAAGGCCCATCTCATGTATTTTATTAAAAAGTGTAAGCAGAAACTTAGCTTGAATGTGGTGGAGATGGAAGTAAGAGGTAAATGTGCCGTTATGTTCTTTTGGTTAAATTGGAAGTGACTGAAAAGTGATGTGAGAAAAATTCTTGGATTTACTACTAATTAGTTGCTTCTGGGAAGATTGTGAAGGAAATTAAATGTGTTACAAGCAGGCATTGTACGTAATATGTTGTTTTTCCCGACTTTTTAATAGCCATTTGGACATAAGAATTGTAAAATTCAAAAAAATGGTGAAAATGGTATTTGAAATTTAGAATTGTGTTTGGATATAAATTTCAATTTGGGTTGTTTTTGAAGTTTTGTGAGTGATTTGAGCGAAAATTTTGAAAAACAGTTTTTTGCAGTTTTTCAAATTTTCGAAAACTTCCAAAATGCATGTTCAAGTGAAATTTGGAAATTTTATAAAACAAACGTTGATTTCGAAAAAAAAGGGAAATTTTTTGAAAAAATCTTCCATCAAATTTTATGTCCAAACGGGTACTTAGTTTCGTTGCTTTTCGTTTTATTTTCCTTTATTTATTTGAATAGAAGACAAGTTCATCAAACAAAAGTTCTAATATCTAATAAAATTTAAACACATCAAGTCCTTAGATCATGTATTATGAAATATATAAGACTAAGGGAATCATGTATTAATCTCTCTCCACAAAAAATATGATTTTCCCCTTAAAAGTTTCTTTTTTCATTTTTAAGAATATTTGATAATAAAAAATGTAGTTTTCTAATCTCTAACTTTACAAGAACATTTATCTTGTGATTTTTTTCATCAATATATAAAATTAGTTTTTTTAGTCATACAGCTGAAAAATTCTATCTTTAATTCTTAATAAATTTATAAATAAAATCCTTTCGAAATGGGTTGCTATTTCTGAAATCGCGCAAAGCGCGGCAGATTTCCTAGTTTCTTTTATAATCATGATAGCTGTATTATGCGTACTTTAACTAATTACACGAGAGCAGTATTTATTACCTTCCACCAATATATAAATCAATATATTTATATCAAATGTTGATGTAGGACAAGTAACAATAATAAATTTAGTATAATTTTACAAGCGAGATCTGAATATTACGGTGGGACAAGGTAATTTAAAAATGGATTGACCAACTCCTCTCTCTCTCTCTTTTATAATATTGTTTCCATTATTTTTCACAAGGTTTATCAGCAGAGGTGGATGCAGTGAGAGAGTTACGGGTTTAATTGAACCCGTAACTTTTGATGCGGCGTAGAAATTTATATATAAAAATTCATTAAAATTATAAAAATAATAGATGTAAACCCATCACTTTAAATATATAACGGGTTCAATATTAAAAATTTTAAAAATTAAACTCACGGAATTAAAATCCTAGTCCGTCTCTGTTTATCAACCCTCTTTTGGAAGTAGGAATTTGATACGTGTCAAGATCTACAGCTTATAGCATGAATATGTTTCAATATAATTATAAAAAAAGATCAGTATGTCACGCACAAGAGACCAAATTATTTTTTGAAGTCGAGTTTTTCTTGGAACTTTAAACCTTTTTTTCTCCTGGCATCTTCGTCTAAATCGTGGGAAAAACACATGAATTTCTGACTACCTTAATTCAATTAAAATAAATAAAAAAAGCAATAGCTCTGTCCAGAAATGTGCTGGACAAACAGTAATTCGACATGATACTATCGAGATAAAATCTAAGTGCTAAACCTTATTTAGATTCAATGGGTTTTTTGAAAGAGTATATCGATACAATTTTAATGAAGTTAAGTCGTTTGTCGACCGATAAATTCATCCCCAATTATATTTAGCCTCACTAGTTAAAGTCAGTTATCCATCGCCCTTCTTTTTTTTGTGGTCAACTTCTATTCTGCTTGTAGAAAATTCATCAAGAAAAGGTCATGACCAAGTTAAACTAAAGGTCATCAAATTTTAGATTTACTAATTAAATTTTGTAGGAATTCTCTAGGGTCTGAGGCAGAATGACTTTTACGATAAAGTTTAGTGACTTTTAAATAACAAAAAATAAATAAGTAATTGTTGTGAGCATTAGTGGCATGACCTTCTGTAATGAATAGACAAACTTCTTATTATATTAATATGAACTAGAACTCAATTACAGATTCGGATAACAATTCAATGCTAACTACTGAATTGTAATGAGAAATACTGGAATGTGAAAGTAGCTAAGGATTAGAAATAAAGAAGGGGAGATGAGAAGCTAAGACTTAGAGAAAGGGGTTGAGAGGAACATATATTTTTCTTCACAATACGCATAATCCATTCTCTCTAACTGCTAGTCCTTTTTAACTATTTTTTAAATGGACCTGGATCCCTCATCCATAAAATAAAAGAGATTTTATACGGTTAAACATTTCTTCAGAATTATTTAAAATTCTGGATCCGCCTCTGGTGATGAGATGCCGGTTTAATAGATAGAGTGACTGAAATGCAAATACATGATAGTCAAAATTGTAAATTAGATAATCTGCTAAGGCTGTGTAAAAAATTTAAATTATTGCCTAGTTATGTTTTTTCCTCAAATTTTACTCAGCCCAATAATTCCTACGGTCTCATTTACTACTTCTAGCTCATAGGCCGTTATTGAAATGCAAATACATGATAATCAAAATTGTAAATTAGATAATCTGCTAAGGCTGTGTAAAAAAATTTAAATTATTGCCTAATTATGTTTTTTCCTCAAATTTTACTCAGCCCAATAATTCCTACGGACTCAGTCTCATGCACTACTTCTAGCCCATAGGCCGTTATTGAATGAGCCTGATTCACAACACCTTCAGTGAAATTAACTCCTTGAAATAATTTAGGAGTTTAATATATTTTATGGCTAATTGAAGACGAAGACGAAGATAAATGATAGAATGCCTTCACAAACTTCATACCTTTTCTTTTGCTAAAAAACCGTTGTCTATTGCAATTTGGTGAGACAAAACAATTATCACATTATGTATGTGTATACGTGTTCGAATATGTAGTATGGGACCTCTACGTTTCTACATTTCTTATTAACATGTGTAACTAATTCAATCATATATGTCTCCGTTTACATAAGATCATGATAAGTGGGCTAATGAAACCAAAGCAGTGCTTAAAAGGTTTCTTCAAACTATTTAATATTGGGCTTTTGGGCCATGCTGAGATGAGTTCTCACCATTTTAAGGTTTTTTGCTACTATTCATGAATACAGTAGCGCGAATACGACGAATATATTGCCGTAATAACTGAATAGTTGCTATAGGAAGTAATTATTGTTAGCGGCCATAGCCATTGAGGAGAGATGATGAGATAGTAGATTGAGAGAGAATGAAGAGCAGATTTGAGGAAAAAAATCTGAGAATGCAAGTTATCTCTTTTCCATTATCTGTACACTGTATATATATGGTAAATTAACTAACTCTTAACTTGATAACTACTTATTCAACAACCTAACTATAGTTAAGTTTACTAACTAACTAAGGTTAGTAATCAGCTTGTATCTTAGTCTAGCTAACACTCTCCCTCAAGCTGATAATCTGAACAAGTTCTCTACCCCAAGCTGGTTCAGTAAGTGATGATGTTGAGCCTTCCCTAAACTCTTGGTAAACAGATCTTCTAATTGATCTTCAGTGTGAATATGCTCAGTTTGTATTAGTCCTTGGTTGATTTTTTCTCTAACAAAATGACAGTCTATGTCAATGTGGTTTGTTCTCTCATGGAATATAAGATTAGCTGCTATTTGTGTTGAAGCTTTGCTGTCTGATATCATCTTCACTGGCACCTGGATGTTGACTCCAAGTTCCTTAAACAAGCCTACCAGCCATGTAATTTCTGTTGCACATGCAGCCATGGTTCTAAACTCAGACTCTGCAGAACTTCTTGAGACAATGTTCTGCTTCTTGGACTTCCAAGATATCAAGGACCTTCCAAGCTTGACTAAGTATCCAGTGATTGATCTTCTTGTTTCTATGCATGCTCCCCAATCAGAGTCACAGTAGGCACTGAGCTGCTCAGTATGTCCTGTAGGCATGATCAATCCCAAACCAGGAGCTTCTTTGATATACCTCACTACCCTTAAAGCTGCTTCCATATGAGATACTTTAGGAGAGTGCATGTATTGACTTAATACCTGATCTGCAAAGGCAATACCGGGACTAGTCATAGTTAGATACAACAACCTTCCAACCAGTCTTTGGTACCTGCTAGGGTCTTCAAGTAGTTTATCCTCAAATGATTCCTTATGATTGATACATTCGTAATACATCACTGATGTAAGTTTCTGGTTCAACTCTAGTAGAGTATTAGCTGGTTTAGCTCCACCTAGTTCTGCCTCAGCAATTAGCTCAAGATCATACTTTCTTTGGCTCATGAAGATGTCCTTTTTTGACCTTGCACATTCAATGCAAATGAAAAACTTTAATTCCCCCAGGTCTTTCATTTTGAACATCTACTATAATTTACACCTAGTGTCACTAATCATACTTGGATTATTACTAGTGATCAATAAGTCATCCACATATACCAAGACTATGACTACATCACCTGCAGTCTTTTTGGTGAATACAGAATAATCATAGTGACTTTGTTCAAATCCCACTGACACTAGTGCTTCAGTCAGTTTCATATTTCGCTGCCTAGGAGCCTGCTTGAGACCATATAGAGATTTGTGTAGTTTGCAGACCTTCTGATTCTCCCTCTGTCTAGTAAACCCTTTAGGAATTACCATATAGACTTCCTCTAGGAGATCACCATTGAGGAAGACATTATGCACATCCAATCTGATATATGAATCATTGTTTTGAAGCTGCAAGTACAATAATGGACCTAACTGTGACCATCTTAGCTACTGGTGAGAAGGTTTTACTGTAGTCTAAGCCTTCCCTTTGACTATAGCCTTTGGCTACTAATGTTGCCTTGAATCTCTCTATCTCCCCAGATGCCTTATGCGTGATCTTGAATATCCACCTGCAACCAATAAGTTTCTTTCCAGGAGGCAGATCCATAACACTCCAGGTGTGGTTATACTCTAAAGTTGCTATCTCCAATTTCATAGTTTCAACCCACTGAGGATTTCTGTCTGCCTCTAAGAATGTTTGAGGTTCAGTGCATATAGAGTAAGCTGATAAGACTTGACTGTAAGATGGAGATACGTGTGAGTAGGATACATGAGCTGAGATTGGATAGGCACATTTGGATCCTTTTGAGTGAACCACATAGTACTGTAGCCATATAGGTGGTCTGTTACTTCTAGAAAATTTTCTAAGTTTATGTGAACTCAGAGGATCAACTACAGTATTTTCACTTGTAGTTGGAACTTCAGTTGTATTTCGAACATGACAGTGATCATCTTCATTGACATCTACTGAAGTTTTTGGTGGGGACTGTCTCACACTTGGAGGAACTGTGAGAGGATGAACTAAGTTGTCAATAGCATCAGGAATAAACTCCAACACAAGAAACACAAGATTAATGATTTGCTTTATATGCTTGAAATGATATATGTCTTCCTGAAATGTAGCATTCCTGTTGACTAGGAATGTTTTCGAGGAAAGATCATATAGAATATACCCTTTTTTGAGTGGACGAATATCCCATGAGAACAGAAAGAATTGCTCTGGATGAAAATTTGTCATTCACTTTAGGACTGGATGCATAGCACAAACAACCAAAGACTCTTAAGTGATTTAAAGAGGGAGGATGCAAATAAAGCATCTCAAAAGGTGTCTTGTACCCAGTTACCTTGGATGGAAGTCGATTGATGAGATAAACAGTTGTAGTTACACATTCTCTCCAGAATCTTAGAGGGATAGAGGCTTGAAATCTGAGAGACCTTGCCATCTCCAGAATTCCACCACTTCATTTTGTTGTAGAGTGTATACACAGGAACTTTGATGCATGATGCCAAGAGTAGTTAACAAGGATGTAAATTCATTGCTGAAGAACTCATTTCCATTGTCAGTTATCATATGCTTTACATTAGTAGAGAACAGATTCTCTACTTTTGCCAGAAAATCTCTCAGCACTACCACAACTTCAAATTTAGAGTTGATAAGGGATATCCAGGTATATCTAGAATAGTCATCAACTAGAGTGTCAAAGAATCTTTTTACATCATAGGTTGGCACCCTATAGGGTCCCCAAATATCAAAATGTACTAATTCAAACAAAGACTTGGTAGTTGAATTATTTAGAGGAAATGACAGTTTTGATTGCTTAGCTAAAGGGCATACATAACAATATTCAGTTGAGCAATCTTTCACATCACTCATTAGATTTAGCCTCTTTATTATATTTATAGGAGCATGTCCTAACATCTTGTGCCACAGACTACTAGATAGGAGGAAAATAGAATTTGAAATAGTACTAGAGCTACATTTAGACTCAGAACTAGAAAAAGAACCAACTGTGCTGAGACACCTTCCTTCAAATAGAATTGAGGAGTTTTGAAGACTTTCTCCATGAAACATATACATTCCATGATTCTCCCTACCAATCCCCTTCACCTGACTACTGTAGAGATCCTGAAAAATACAGAAGTCAGGGAAGAAGGCAACCAGGCGATGAAGCTCCTTTGTGAGTTGTGATACAGAAAATAAGTTGTACTTAAAGTCTGGTATGTACATGACATTAGATATAGTCTAATCCTTAAGAACAATAGCCTTCCCTTTATGAGTAACAGACACCACTTCTCCATTTGGTAAGTGAACTATATTTTTATTTTCTTTGTTAACGGTACTGTGTGAATTAATCATGTCAATTCTAGAAGTCATATAATTTGAGGCACCAATGTCTATGATCCAGTTTATATTGACAAAGTTGGTCATTAGGGCAATCAGAGTACCTGTTGCAACCAACCTACTGGATGATCCCGGAGCTTCCTCATTTCCTTTTGACAACAACTGAAGAATTTGCTGGTACTGTTCCTTAGTAAACAAAGCAAGAGCTGAATGAGGCTGAGGAGGAGGTCCAAAGCTGGGAGCCTGCTGCTGTGGATAGACAATTGATTGTTATGGATACACATAGGAATTTCCTCCTTTGTTCTGTTGATATGCAGCATTGGATTGAGGTAGTGCACACTGTTGTAGTTGAGAGTGCCTGTGAGTATTTTCTCCTACAACAAAGTCTATACCTGAGGCACCATTAGTATACAAACTAGGAGTTGTAGAACCTTTCTTCTTGGACTTGAAATCAGGTGGATATCCTATGAGGTTGTAGAATTTTCTTTGGAGTGTCCCTTGCAATGACAGTCTTCACATTGAATCTGATTCTTCTTAAACTTGTAACTACCTCCTGAGGTTCCATTTCCTCTGTTGCTATACAATGTTGTGCTTTCTATCCCTTCAGTAATTAGCATAGATTGTTGATAGGTTGCAAGACTTCTCTAACTCTCTTGATCAATAAGTAGTGCATAGGCTTTGTTGATGCTAGGTACAAGAGACATCATCATAATTTGGCTTCTGGCTTGGGCGTATGTTTCATTCAAACCTACCAGAAACTGCAGTACCCTATTAGCTTCAAAATGCTGAGAATATTTCTTAGATTCAGGGCAAAGGCAACCAGGACAAGGCATGAGTGCATCAAATTTATCCCACAGATCTTTCAATTTTGAGAAATAATCAGCAATTGACATGGTTCCTAGAGTAAGACTATGGATTTCTCTAGGAAGATATAAGACTCTAAAGCCATTGACTTTATCAAATATCTCCTTGAGATCCTCCTAAACTTTATGAGCATCAGAAGCATACAGAACACTACTCAATAAACCAGGTCTAACTGCATTCATGATCCATGATAGAACAACAACATTAACTTTTTCCCATTGATCATGCAACTCAGGTTCAAACCTAGTTTTAGGAAATCGACCATCAACAAACCTAATTTGCTCTTACCTAAAAAGCCAATTCTCATAGCACGACTCCATAGAGCATAATTGTCCAATCCAGTCAGCTGAAGTGAAATCAATGTGCTTCCTGGAGTATCGGTTGGTTGTAAGAACAAAGGGTAATTGTGATCGATTATTGGAGAACTCGTGGTGCCTGTGCCCAAATCACCGTTTCCAGTGTTAGGAGGAACAGGTACACTACTCGAGGGACTCAACTAATCTCCAATTGCCATTTTCTTGTAGCAGAGTACTCGTAGATCAACTGAATTGGGAACAAATTTTGCAAAATTCTCTCCCAATTCACAAACCCTAGCTCCTTCTAGCTCAGACGAACACTATGACAATTCAACTAGACATTGTTGAATTGAGGTTTCTGAGATGACCGAAGCAGACTAGAGCTGCGATGAGGACATACGCCGGTGGCTCTGATACCATGTTAGCAGCCATAGCCATCGAGGAGAGAATGAGATAGTAGATCGAGAGAGAATGAAAGAGCGGATTTGAGGAAAAAAACTAAGAATGCAACTTATCTCTTTTCCATTATCTGTACACTGTATATACATAGTAATTTAACTAACTCTTAACTTCCTAACCACTTATTCAACAACCTAACTATAGATAAGTTTACTAACTAACTAAGGTTAGTAATCAGCTTGCGTCTTAGTCTAGCTAACAATTAAGTATATGGTAGCTATAGGAAGTTAATAGCCACTAAACAATAGTGATTTCTGAAAATTCCTCTTTAAGGTTTGTGCTGCAATCAAGGGGGGAGCTATATGGTTTGAATGACATCTAATTGAGTCTCTTTTGTCGAAATAAATGTGTTTAAAAAATTATTGAATTCCATGATATGAGGGAAGTTTCTAATGTAGTGGCAAAGGTGACTCAAAAATTTGCTTGAATTCCCATGTTATATAATGCTTGTTTGATAAAATGACTTTTCAGGAGCTGGTATGCTGGACTTCTTAGTTGCTGGATGTATGTTGAAGTGGGCTTGTTAGATGCATGATATTGCAATAAAAAATGTACTCTAGCTAGTTTTCTTGATGTAATTTTGAGCCCAATAATGATAATCATTATAGTAGTTAGACGTACGCAGATATTTTTGTAACCGTGGTTGGTTTTTGTATTACATTATCGTTTGGTAGGGTATATAAGAATAATGCGGAATAAGGTGTATTAGTAATGCATGGGTTAGTAATGCAAACATTAGTTATGCATATATTATTTCTTATCTATTGTTTGGTGTGATGTATTAAAATTATAAATGCATTACATAATTTTAAAGAAAAATAGTTGTTTACGAAAATGCCCTCCATATTATCTAGCTTTAAAGGACTTTTAAAGACAATCTTGTCTTTAACCATACTAATGCAAGCATTAATGTCCTTGGTATTACTAATGTCATGATTTTCTATGCATTACTTATACATAAGATAATACCAAGTATGATTAATAATTAATACAAGTATTAGTTATACACAGGTTAAAAAAATATACCAAACAAGGTATTAGTAATGCATAGAACTAATGCTTGCATTATTTTTTCTAATACCTCCTACCAAACGACCGCTTAGTCTGATCGAATGATACCACTTGATTGAAGACGTATTTCAAATATGTATAGCACTAAATTACGCGTCCGATGACACTACTTTGATTGAAGGTGTCTCTGGCATTGGCAGCTGAACATAAATTTCACTATTGCCTTCTCAATCTCACCCAATTGTTTTCAAAAATTACCTGATTATTTTGGAATACGTAATTTATAGTTTCAGCTTACTTTGTGGTCAGCAGGTCTTTTTCTTTTGTTGTTAATATATCTAAAGCCAGAATATTTATCGTATATTAAATATTTATATCATCCAATATGAGAACTGAGAACACACAAAGAAGGCGTGTGCAACTGTTAATTTTCAGAAATCAAGATTCTTTTTTTTTTGGGATCAAAGAGATCTTTCTACATAATATATCAACATTCCTAACAGAAAATTATTTCATCTCTCTAATAAGTTACAGGGCACAGAAAAGGAAAATAAGAAATGAAACAAATACTACCATTTGTTTAGATATTTTCAAGATTTCTATTTCTTAGCTTTTCCTGATAGAATGGTGATGATGATGATGTGAAGAGGCTTTTGACAGCACAGAAATGATGGAATGAAAAGCATTTGCTGCAATTCTTGATTTTATTTGACCTCTTCTTGGTAAAGCCTTTGTACCCCTAAAACCTTCAATTGCTGCTTCAGAATCTCTATCAATCTTGTGATTCATGATTTCAAGCTCAAATAATTTAGTTCTGAATTGGGATAAGATTGTTATGAGATGGTTTGCTTTTGTTTGAGCCAGTTGGGATCCTTATATAGTAGTGTAGTAACTTAATCCAGACCAGGAAAGAGAAAGTTTTGTCTGGGAGAGGTTTATTTGTCATCCATAGTGTCGGTTACTTGTTCACGTGAATCCAGTATCTTCGTTCAAACTCTGTATATATATTAAGAAATCTAATAAATATTTCGTTACGATCCAAACCCATAGCACATATTGTTTGCTTTGAGTCTAGGTCTGCACTGATTTGTCCTCTTGGGCTACACCACCTCGAGCCCCAAAAGCGCGTGTATCATGTGAACCGATGTGAGATTCGTCTAAGGTGACATATACACTATTTCTTCAGAAGCTTACCAGACTAGAAGCCTGCCAGTCCTGCTTACCCGCTCTCATCAGCCGGTCCTCCGTCATGGACATCACATAGCTAAAAGCATTTGAATGTGAAATCCATTTCTATAATCGTATATTAACTTGAGATCGCTATAGGAATTCATAAATTTGAAATTCTGGATCCGCCCTTAATCTTCAAATGATTTTAAATTGGCGGCGAATTCAGAATTTAAACTTGATGGATTCAAGCCTTTATATTTTAAAATTATAAGTTTTGGATATAACATTTTAATATAATTTTAGCAATTTCTTGTATATTTATATTTCGTGTTAAAAATATTGAATTCAATTGAACCAGCAAATATAGTTTTGGACTATAGGCAGGGGGTTGGGTAGCATGCCAGAAGGATTGTCTGACTATCAAGATTCCTTTCTCCCCAACTGGTGGCATCTAGAAATTGTTAAATTATTTATTTATTCATTGACGTAATAGCTGACAATTTTTTTTATACGTATAATAGTATAAGCCTGACTGAGAAGAACTCGTATGGATTTGACAGATGTACGAGGCTGTTATTAGTATACATTCTGGGTTGTCTGGTTTTTATTTGCTACATTAGACAGAAAGCATGCGGCGGACAATTGAAATAGAAATCTATCGTCTAAGATTTTTTGCTGGTTTTGATTTTCAATATACTCTATTGACAGCTTGGCAATTCAATGGATATACAAAAATTTGGTTATCTTAAGAAACAATTCTTCATTTTTTAAGTGTTATAATTGAAATTGAAACAGCCTAGTCATGACTTGATTCTGTTGCACATGGTCAAAAAGCTTGTCCCCTGTTGCCAACAGAGAATTGTAAAATATTATAGTCACAGAAAAAAAATTCTGTTTCCTATGCTCATGGTGTTATAAAATAAAGACCGTAAAGTAAAGACAAGTATATAGAGAAACTGATATATTATTCGAACTCAAACTGATGTACATAATGAACTGAAATCTCTTCTATTTATAGAAGAAAGGAAGCTGCTCTGTAAGCTGCTATTACAAGCTGCTGTGTAAGCTGCTACTACAAGCTGCAGTGTAAGCTACTATAAGCTGCTGTGTAAGCTGTTACTACAAGCTGTTGTGTAAGCTGCTACTGTACCAGATATGGATAATCTTCTACCGGGGATAATGTTTATCCATAACTGGGTACTGAAAAGATAAGCTTATTATACCCGATATGGATAAACTTCTACTGGGGGTAATGTTTATCCATAACCGGGTACCGAAGTGATAAGCTTCTTCAGGAAGCTTATTTCCAATATAGTACTAAATAGATAACATATTTACGGTGGAGTCCCATATGGATAAGCTTCTTCAGGAAGCTTATTTACAACGGAGTACTAAATGAACATCCATAATATAATATATTTATAACACTCCCCCTTGGACGTTCATTAAAAGATAATGTGTCTCATTAAAACCTCACTAAGAAAAACCACGTGGGAAAAAAATTCTAGTGAAGGAAAAAGAGTATACATATTTAGTAATACGCATTGTTAGGTGCCTCATTAAAAATCTTATAAGGAAAACCCCATGGGNGGGAATTTGTGGTGGATTAAGGATCAGTAATAGTGTATGCGGTATGCCTAACATAAAAAAAACAGAGACGGATCCGAGATTTCAAGACGATGAGTATACTATTGTAAAGAGGTGAATTTAAAATTCATATATGACGGGTTTAACTTTAGGCTCTTATCATTGAACCCATAACACTTCTAAAAACATTGGATCAAAATTATATTCTTTTAAACTTTTAGTGATTTTCACACGTGCGCGCGCGCATATATATGATCCGTGTTAAAAAAAAGACCCGTCCGGAGTGAAATTTGAACCGCTAATTTTACTAGGTTCACCCAATAATTATTGTACTACCAAAATAATATTCACGATAATAACAACAAAACAATAATATAGTACTGAGATACGATAATCAACAAGAATAGAAAGAACAACAAAAACACATATTTAATATAGAAAACCCTTCTGAATAAGGGAAAAAAACTACGGGCCCGAGAGGAACAAAGTAATCTACTGTAATGAAGAATTTTACGCTCCATAATCCCGAATAAATACTTCAAGAATCACTATACACTAAACACACTTGACCATTATCCAATTTTCACCCAAATGCAATACAAGTGGTAATTCTTCACAGTATATTAGTGGAACGACTAGACTCAGTGCACTTGATTTTGTGCTTCACCATTATCATTCCCCAAAATGCAATACCAAGTGGCAAGCAATTCTTTATAGTATTAGTGGAAAAGACTATCTTTTACAGTTGTTGGCATTTCCTAATTTCTATTTATGATTGTGATTGAAGTATCCTTATCAACTTTACCAACCCTGGAAGGCTAGAACCAGAAACCAACCTCATGTTTTACAGAATTGCATGGTTAAAAAGAGTCCACAGCTGCCCAATTTTAATATCTTTTTGCTTCTTACCGAGGTACATAAATACTTTAATTATAGCTACTTGTTCACACAATCCTACAAGTTCAAAAGAAATAAACATTGTTCACTCAGCTTCGTAGAACATGGTCTATCCGTATAAGCATGAATAGCAGGTTAACGATCATCAGGAAAATACTCGAACTATATCCGAGAATATTAAACAAGAACTCAAGACATAAAATATTGCAACGGGTAAAAAATTTATTTTAATGAGCATAAAACCAGCTTTTTTGTCGTTTCACTTTATAGGATAGGCCGATAGGGTCACAGAAAAAAAAAACACAGAGCCTAAGAAGCAAGTATGATGAATACAATTTAGTCGTCATCTCCATTAGCTAACAATATACTCATGTATTTAAAAAATGATTAATAAGTTGCCAAATATTGTACACACTCAACTAATTGGTTGACAAATAAATTGCACGGATTTGTTAAGTTCATATATAGTCAACTAATGATTTGAAAATAAACACTAGAGAATCCTCATAGGGAATCTTTATGGTCAAGAAAAATTTAGCTGTCATGCCTCCCTACTGACTTACCTAGTGTGATGAACCTACTACAAAAGGTTGCTAACAAATTGTCCTTTTGTCATTAGCTACCCTATTAACGTAGCTACAAAGAAAAAGGGCGCTGTTTCTTGAATGAGTAAGCAATGTTTGTGCTTTATATATATACTCCTAATTCATGCAATTGGATAATCAAAACACTAATAATCTTCACTTGTTTCTTTTCAAAGAAAGCTACTAAACCGCTTGTAGAATAAAATCTTGTTCATATGGCGCCTAGAGTAAATCATGTAGCAGCAACTCCTCTGTTGTTTGACAAAAAGATCAATGGGCAAAGACCACTTCCTAAGAGAGGGCAAGTTAAAACAAGGATAGCAGCCATGGCGTTGCATACGCTGGCGGCCATATTCACCATGGCCGCCACTCGACGTTCAAATTCCGCCTGCAAATCCTAGTCTTGAGGAGCTAAGGATGATCATGGCTCAAAAAAATGTGTGACATATGAAAAGCATGAATAATCCTTTATGCGCGAGATAGCAATGACAGGAGGTTGACTTGTCAATGTCGAGTGACCTCAAGGCTTTTAGAGAGTTTTGTGTAGTATTAATTTCATTGATTTCTTGTATTTAGACATCTTTTCTTCCTAATCTTGCAGGAGATTGATAAGTCAGAGTCGATGGTCGAGTGACCTCAGGGTTTATAGAGAATTTTGCATAGCGTCATTTTCGTTGATTTCTTATATTTAGACATCTATTCTTCCCCATCTTCTGACAAATTTCCAGTGTCCATTTTCACCTAGTAAGCGAAGTTCAAATATAAAGATTAAATCATGTAACGGAATCTGGCCTTCTCTTATTTTTTTGGAAAAAATGACACTATATAGGCGCTCTCAAAATAATTAACACACACACATACATATTATATACAAATACTATACACTTTTTTGACTACCGAATGTAAATAATTTCTGGAGCAGGCTAAAAGTGAAAACCCCCCTCTTTTTTTAAAGCTTTTGCCTATCCATTTGCGTAACATCCTCCTCAGAAACAACTCATACGACACCACCGTCTTTTTTGGTTCTTTAGTCATCCAGTTTATGAAAAAGATTAAAATAACATACTTTAAAAGGAAAAAATAAAATAATAAAGAAGAGGATAAGAAAATAAGCAGAAAATAAAAACCAAGAAATAAAGAAACCTCATGTTATCTTGTACGTACATTGTTACGAGACCATCTTGAAAACTGCTAAATTAGGGTCTATACAAAGTAGGTACCTTAAGTACAGAGCAAGGCAGAGAACATCAAGGCAACAATTTTAGGGAAGGAATAGGTACACCCCAACAGTTCCTTTCCTCAATGCCAAGGCATAAACCAAAGTCTTTACACTTTCTCAATCATGGGTTCATAAATAGATTATTATAGTTTCTATAGTGCTGCTATATCAATTAAAAATGGCATTTTCAGGCCAACTTCTCCAACATATTTTATGGTCCAAACCAGAGTTTAGCCGTAGCCGGAGCATTCCTCTGTTAAAGACTAACCATGAACCAGTTAAAATACTATCACAACGAAAACTTGATATACGAGGCATCAAGAGAAAATCTAACTGTTTGGTTACATTTTCAATGTCAAATCCTTTTTCAATGTCACATCCTGATAATGACACAAGTCCGTGTTCTCCATCCGACACAATCAAGAAATTCTACTCTAGTATCAACAACAATGACCTGAACCAACTAGCACTACTCATATCTGAAGATTGTTTCTTTGATGATTTCTCCTACACTCGACCATTCAAAGGGAGAAAGGTAACCTCAATCTTTCTCTCAGAAACATGAAACTATAGTAACTTTGTCTGATTCTTGAAGCTCCTATTTGCAAATATATGCAGGAGGCTATGAAATTTCTGGAGAAACTAACCACATGCATGGGTAAGAACACAAAGTTCTGCATTGAACAAATATATGAGGGAGTTCATCTTACAACTGTGGTAAACTGGCACTTAGGTAAGGCCAAAATCACTTATTTCTCACGTTTAGCGAAAATGCATATAAATTGAAACTTGAGAAACTATTTTTTGGTAAATGCAGAGTGGAAGAAGAAACAAGTTCCTTTCACTAGAGGCTGCAGCTGCTACGAGTTATCAAGAGATGGTGAACAACTAATTATAAAGTAAATTTCAAACTTTTCTGAAGCCATGTTAACTTTTAAGACTATTACTTTGTCCTCCGCACAAGTACTAAACGTTCAGAAATGGCAATTTATACAGGAAAGCTCAAGTAATCATTGAATCACCAATCAAACCAGGAAGCTTCGCTTTGGTATGAACATCACCAATCTTCTATATTTCAGAAAAAGCGCAAATTATACAATCTAATTCATCAATATGAAGTCTTTGTTCAGTTCCTATTTCATTAACACACATGGTGTTCATGTTCTCGACAAAAAGCAGGACGTGTTCCAGAATGTCATTTCAGTATTTGATACTTTCCCTGAGGCAGCATGTATGTTGATTTCTTTAATATTCTTTATACTTTCACTAACAAGAGAACGAAAATATTCTGAACGGGGCAAAATTTTTTTCCTACGCAGGGTTGTTCTTGATGAATCCCCAAGTGGTACCAACTATCTACAATATGGTTCTCAAGCCAAGCATAGGTCCGATTATTGCTTGGTACCGCAAGTTATGGAGTATCACAGTCACCATTCTTACACTTATCTACAAGTTATTCCTTTACATTATAGAGATGTTCCACAAGTAGAAGATATGCACAGCTTGCCAATTCAAGAAGCTGGACAACATTTCAACGACTTATTTTTCCTACATAAAGATAGTAGACAAAGATAGACTTCACATTTAACAAGACTCTAAAACCTTCAAAAGTTTCTTACTTCTATAGGCAGAAGAAAGCATATGGCATTAACCATGTCAGCTGTTAATCATCCTTGCTATCTCGTCTCGACCATGATTCAAGCAATGAAAGAGCAACTAGAGGTCCAAGGAAAGGAGGGATTGGAGGTGGCCTGCTAAAAGCAACAAGGGGTTCAATGTTCTCCGCCTTCATTTGGGCTTCTCCGGCATCATCATTTGCTTGCTTCTTAGGGATCATTGTTCCAACTGTATCAATGTCGCCATTATTCAGTTTATCAAAACGAATACAACAGTAAATCAAGTAGTCAAACACCAATATCTTTAACTACGATTTTCTTGTACATTTGTAATAACAATTCTATCTTTATCCAAATTAATATGACACTCTTTTTAATTTGGAATGTTCCCAAAATACTCGTCACAATTCCAGTGATAATATTATTTTATACAATTTTCCAAAGATTCAAGAATTCAAATTCATTTAAATGTCATATTTTAAACATTTCCGCGCCAATTTTTCTACCAAACTGACTTGTCATACTCACTCTGTTCCAACTTATGTGACGCAGTTTGATTCTGCAACAGGTTTAATAAAGAAATGAAGACTTTTGAAACTTGTAATCTTAAACTGCCACAATATTTGGGTACATAAAATTAGTTTAAAGTTAAATGATTAAATTATATCCAAATATAGAAATATGTCATTTCCTGGAATGGACTAATAGGAAAATAGTGTCACATAAATTGGAACGTACGAACATATTAGTTAGACATATTCTCTACAACCACTAATATAATATAAGTCAAATTAACATATAAACTTGTATCTAGAAAAAAATCTAAATAAAGTGGAGTGAGTATTTGTTATGTACGTAATTTTATAATTAGTGCTCGTACATAAAGAAAGCATAACATTGAAAAATTACCCAATTTTCCTCCAGCTGGAAATATGGTTTTGAATTTGGTTAGAGCAGGAACTAAAGTTTCCGTTCGAATCATCGGTTCAATTTTTATTACCCTTTCACCAAAATCCTGCAAATCATGGAAAAAAGGTGTGAAAAATAAAGAAAATGTTGAATTTTAGATAAAACGGGGAAAACCCATGACTAAAAGATTGATGAAATTACAGAAACCGTACCAGAAAATCTTAAATTCTTTCGTCCCAAAAACTGATCCTGCGCCTTAGTAGAAGAGAAATGTCAGCAGTTCGAAGGTGGTCGGATATTGTGAGAACAAAAGAGTTGGAGAATCTTCTTGAAAGTTCAAATGGGCCTAGTGGTTGTTTGGGTACGGCCTGATTACAGGTCAAAATAGCATGGGCGAGCCCGTTATCCGAGAGATAACTGAAAAATAGTTACTCTTTATAAGGGATTTTTACCTATTAATACTATATTACTTTTACGGTACGCGCGTTGTGCGTGTATCCTATACTAATAAGTATAAAATTTTAAAGAAACACATAAATAATAGACAAAATTATATCATATATCACTTGGGCCATACAACCCATTCGAAAATAGCCCATATTTGAAGCATTTATCTAGCTTAGCCCATATTGTATATGTTATGAAATTTACTTTTCACCCGGTAGCCACAACTTAAAACAACGGTTTTAATATTTTAAATTTCAATTTCTCTGTTTCTCTTTCTCTCTCTTCCTCACGCTTTTCTCAGAGACGACGATAACCGACCTCCATTGTTAGGTTCAAGTACTTTTTCGAGCTTTCAATCTTATTTTCAGGTAATTTTCGTTTCATTTTATGCTTTACCACAATTTTTGTTTTATTTTTAATTTTTTTCTTTTCTGATTATGCCTATTTTCTTACAATGTTGTTATGTTTTTCGTTTGATTTTGTGTTCCTTCTATCTTCGTTCTAGGAACTTGATGTTTCAGTTTGCATGGTTTGTTATTTTGCCTTTTAGGGTAGATTTTTTTTTTGTTGAGTTTTGTTACAATTTGGGAAAATTGGCCTCTGTTCTGTGTTCATGGCCTTTATTTCTGGTTCACTTTTGAGTTTTGTTACAGTTTGATTTTTGTGTTTTCCTTCAGTTGTCTTCACTTTTGTTAAAGCTTTGTTTGTTTGGTTTATTATAGAAAATGCGTTCAAAAATACTTGCTTCTAAAAGCAAAATGAAGGTTGCTGGAAAAGGCGTTAAGTTCGATTATGCGAAAAGATTGAGGGAGTTGCCCTCAAGCCCTGATTCTGAAGCTAATGTAAATGTCCAGGCACCAGATGATGATTTTGAGTCTCTTGCTCCTCCTAAAAATTCGCAACAAGAGAGCAGTCAAATGACTCGTTCGCAAACGAGGAATTCTCCTACTCCAGTTAAATCATCGAGGGACTTACCCTCAACCCCTGCTTCTGAAGCGAATACGTATGTCCAGGCTCCCGATGATGATGATTTTGAGTCTCCTGCTCTTACAAAAAAGTTGCAACAAGAGAGCAGTCGAATGACTCGTTCGCAAACAAGTAATACTCCTAGTCCGATTAACATCGTTAGAATAAGGAGTAAGAAATGTGGGAGACCTGAAAAATAAAAATAAAAAGCTGAAAGTTGATTTGGTTAATGAAGATGATATAGGCCCCAATGTTAAACCAAAAAGGAGAAAGATCAAGGCCGATTGTGAGAGTGGTCTTGATTGCATATCGAAAGAACAAAGGTTTGTTATTCGCTGCAAATTGAATGAGAGAAAAGTTACGTTGATGGTATCCCCTGTGTTGCTATTAATTTATACATGCTTATACAATTTTATACAAAGTTATACAACTGTTTATACATCTTTATACAAGTACTGCTACACTGATTTATACATTTTTATAAAATGTTTTAGTATAGTTTTTGTTCCTGATCTATTTCTTGTTATTTTTTCATATGCAAGGTTGGGGACTTCTATATACAACTAGTTGATCATTTCCACAACAGGATTAGTTCCCATACTGAAACTAATATTGTGAGCATTTTGAAGCAATGTTTGACTGACATGCAGCTTCAAATGTTCCGTGCTAGTTGTTTTGGGTAATTCTTGGACCTCCCTCAATTTAAAATTCAAAATCAACTTACTCATTGTATATTATTGAGGGAAGTCATCCCAGGATGGGAAAGAGAGTTGTGGGTGAAAATTAATGGGTTTTTGCTGCGTTTTGGCATTGGAGAGTTGGATGTTATCACTGGTTTGAAGTGTGTAGAAGACGACACCACTTTCTGTGATAAACCAGATGTTAATAGGTTGCTAAAAGAGTACTTTCCAGGAGATGGAAAAAAGGCTATAACGAGGGGGCAACTTCTTGATCGCTTCAAGAAAAAGGACTGGAAGTCGGATGAAGATGCGTTCAAGATGGCCTTGATGGTGTTTGTCCATCATTTCAGATTCTCAGATGCCAATAATCATGGTATCAACAAAGATGATTTTGATATTATTGAAAGTGGTCAATATCAGACGTATGCTTAGGGAATTAAGTCATTTGAAGATATTTTAAAGACAATGAGGGACAGACAGTGTGACTATTTGACAATGTATAGGCTTGGAGGTTTGCCACTTGCATTACAAATATGGTTTTTTGAGTGTTGCTCTATGGTTGACAAGCATCTAGCTGTTCGCGTTGGCACAAATGTGCCACGTATTCTTAATTGGAAAGTGACTGAAACTCCAACATATGCGGATTTGACTGGCGGGGTGATCATGTGTAGTATCGACAAGGTAAACATTTTGTACCATAATACTTCTTCATATATGATTTCAGTTTTTCTGTATGTATATTTATGAATATGTCACAATTTCCTTTTTCTACTATTGTAATCTAGTTTTTCTTCTTGTAGTTGAACTATAGGAACATTTCCCCTACTCGTGAAGAGATGTCAACTCGGAACATTGACACGTTTTTTGAAGTTAATGCCTATGATATTGTATCAGGGGAGGTGTTTGTGGTACCTGCCTTTCACACTGATGATTCTGTCGTTGCATCTCCACCTTGTCCTCAGAATATGGAGCAACAGTCTAAACGACCTTATCCTCAGAATACGAAGCAACAGTCTAAATGACCTTTTCCTCAAAATATGGATCGACAGCCTAACCCGAGTTATGATCCGTTGGTGCGCATTGATCTGTTGAATGCTGAAGTTGAGAAGTTGAGGAGTGCTGTTGGAAAGGTACTGGACATTTAGCTTTTCTGTAGTTTATTAGTACTTTTTGTATATACATGGTTTTTTGGTTATAAATATGGTTGTTGATTTGCTTTTTTGTTTTTTTTGTTGTAGTTGACTTATAGAGTGACGACACTCAGCAATTATGTAGCTTCTTCCTTTGAAAAAATGTTCAGTTTTCTGAATATGAAGGAAATCAAGCAAACGAGGGAGGATGTTACTGATTCTAAGGTAATTGTTTACTGATAAAACCAAATCACTCAACAGTTATGCCTTCTCTGAATCATCACTCAACATGCCTTCTCTTTCTATTGTTTTTATTAGATTCCTCAGCGCGTGTCTGATGATAATACATCTGGTCTCGGCGATTTTGATGTCTATCAATATGATGTTGTTCCTAACTTTGTCAATCAAGTGAATCAAGATAATGTGCTAGCTGACGAGGGAGTTACTGATGGTGTTGATCATGGTATTTGTTCTGCATTTTATCTTTTTTGTCTGATTTTTCTTTTCTTCAATTTTTTGAAGTTTTTTATTATGTGTTTTCTCTGTCTAAGGGACAACAGGTGATGTCAAGGGTGACACATTTTGGGATAACATTGACGATGAAGATTTAGCTGCACTACAAATGTCCCAAATTGTGCTTCACAAACAATCCATCATAGACGTAGAAGATGATTACATTTCTCCTGAACAGTCAGTTCGACAGAAAATACCAGGAAAATAAGCCAAATCTCCATATTTGCCAGTTTTTTATTCGGGGGCATAAGGATCGGCGCACAAGCTCATTTTTGATATCAAGCATCCTTTCACGATCAAAATTGTTGATTTTGATCCATTGTCGCCATTGGCTAAAGAGTTTTGCGCGTTTGTTAATAATGAGATAGATACGAGGCGAAGGTATCTTCACTTTCTTTAATCTTTCATGTTCTGATTTTATACTTGTCAATGAATGTAGTTCTGATTACTTTTTATTTTTTGTGATTTGAAGTGCCAAAAATATATATCCCAATGAAGTAAATAAGCTTGCGGAAGCTTTTACTTTTGGCTCGTGTCATGTGAACACGAATGATTAGTTCCACTCACTTGCATATTGTGGTTGACCTTTGATTGACACGGTATTTAATCAATTTCTGTTCTAATGCCTTTTTTTATTTGTTGCATATCTTTATTGTTTGAGACCCCCATCGTGTATACATAGCTTTGTATAATCACAATATAAGATTGTATAACCTTGTATAAATATATATACCTCTGTATAATAGTATATAAATTTCTATATTTAAAAAATCTGGCAGTGATGGTTGTTTTGTTTTATTTCTTGTCTCAGTACTTGGATGTCCTCTTTTATTATTTGATGAAGAGGGGTAAATATGGGCCGAGTGTTGCCATGCGGTTTACTACAACCGACTTTGCCTTTGGTAACAAAATTAACTCCATGTATAAAGATTTCAAAGTGAATTAAGATCCTTCAATGATTCCTGAAGGGCATGAGATAGAAGAGTACATAGAGGATATTATTGTGATGCAAATGTACAGTGGCACATTGTTGACCATGTCTTATTCCCTATCTATGTGAAGCGCGAAAGAGCAAAATTGGGCCATTGGGTTTTGGGATTGTTTACGTTCATAGATAAGTGAATCCACATCTATGACTCTAACCGTGGAGCTATTAATGATAGACTTGCTTTGGATGCTGCATTACCTTATGCAATTTTGATACCTTACTTCTTGAAGAGTTCTGATTTTTATGTCGAGAAGAAGGACATTAATTGGAACAATGGTGCATATACCGATAGATCCCATTCTGATGATTTGCAGATTAATTTGGTTAATAATGTGCCCCAACAGATCAAATGGTAGGTTAATCTCAATTGTTTTACTATTTTACTATTAGTGTACCTTTTTTAATCTGATTTATTTCTTTTTAATTACAGTGATTGTGGTGCTTTTGTTGCTGGTTTTGCTAAGTATTTTATCATTGGTAAGAAAATTCGAAAAGATAATTTTGACATTGAGACACTTCGCACCAGGTGGGGATCTCTGTTGTGGGATTATGGAAGGAAAAAATAATAGTCTGGTGCAATTAGTGGTGATGAAATCACAGGGAGACTTTTCAGGAAGAGGACGAGGGGACGACCGAAAAAGTAGTTCTATTTTTTCCATTTTACTGTAGTTTTTCTATGTATCAGGAGTTGTTGCCTAGGTTTGTCTAAGTACTATTATGTTACTTGTGAGATAACCTTAAAGGATATTATAGATGTTTTTATTTTTGTGTAATTTGTGGTAGTCATTACACATTGTGGCTTGTGAATGAATTATATTTTAATGAATATTTCAGTTGCTTTTGTCCTTTAACAAAGTATGTATTTTCATTGTGGTTAAAGTTTTGTTAATGTAGCAGAGTTTATACATATGTATACAATAATATACATAGTTATACAAACTTATACTCTCATTTATACATGTGTATACATATAATACCAATGATTGTCAGCAGTTCTGTTTTGTATTTCTACAATCTATCAATATATTTAGTGTCATTAAAAATAGCAAGACACAATTATTGGATAATCAAAACATGTATAATGAAACATCTCAATTGCCTGTGAAACTTAACTACTCAACATTTGTAATTCTATTGTTTGTGAAACTTAACTACTCAACATGATAACAAATGTAATAGTAAGTGTTATGTTTTCAACTATTTATTTTGGTCGATTCCTATATATTTTTCTATTGTGACCACCTTCTCCACACATAGAACATGAAAATGCCCTCTTAGACTCTTTTTCTGAAGCAGGTTTGAGTCTTTCCTTTCTTGGCCTTCCTGCATTCCTTCTCCCTTTAGGTGGTAGGACCACATCTTCCATCATCTCTGTTGGGATTACCCATAAACTCTCATCTGGCATCAGATTCACTGGAAATTCATAAGTTCTAAGGAGTTTATCCTTCTTGTAGTAAAAAGAGCAATACTGGCCAGGTTTCAGCTGCAGGTTCTTCAAAACCGCCCAAGCATGCGGACATGGAAGTTCTTCCATTTGAAATTTTCTGCAACTGCATGTTCCCTCTTCAAAGCACACTATGTTTCGCCTTACCCCTTCAAACACAGTATATAACTTCCGTAGAAGGCCTCACCTGCAAAAGTTTTTTTTTTAAAAGTTAAAGAACATTATACATTATTATACAGAATTATACAACCTTATACAAGCAGTAAAATGCAAGTCAGCAGTGCCAAGCATCCTTATATTTGATTCATTTTACCGTCATTTGCTCCGATGCAATCAGATTTTCCCGAAGGAGTTTGTTGTACTTTTCGCCAAGCTCTGTAGATGTCTCCATTGCACTTTTTCTGTTTTTGTTGTTCCACTGTTGTGGCAAATTTATCATGTACTCCAGCAATCGCATTACTGGTAACTCTCTAGCATCCTTGTTTGCTGCATTAATTGACTTTGCAATATTGGAAGTCATTACCATCGACCTTTTCACTTTGGAATATGCCCTAGACCACCTTTTGTAGCCAATTTCGAACAAGTAAGGCTGCACCCTCGGATCAATTTTGCACATCTCTGTCATATGGTACTCAAACATTTCTATAGTGTAAGCTCTAGCCAAAGCAAAAAAGATATCCTTCAATTGTTTGTGATGTTTCTTGAATGTGTGCTTTACATTCTGCCACAAGTGAAACATGCAAATACAATGTGGTACTTCTGGGTACACAGCTTTTGTGCAATTGAAGATGCTTTCATTTCTATCTGAAACTATACACATCCCTTCCCTAACTCCAAAAGTACCCTTTATCTGGACAAAGAACCACTCCCAAGATTTGTTATTCTCCGAATCTACAATTGCATATGCAAGTGGAAGGATTTTTCCTGTTTATACAAAATAGATATTAGGATTCAGATAATTATACAAATCTTATAGACAGTTATACACAATTATACAACTTTATACCAACTGCAAATTTTATAAAAACAGCAGTTGTGAAATCCTATACACTTTTATACATGAAACTACAACATTATACAAACTGCAGAGACAAGGTAGATGCAGTCAACTCACCAGCTCCATCCTGTGTGCAAGCAGTCAATATGGTACCCTTATATGCTGCTTTAAGGAAACTTCCATCAATAACCATTATCGGTCTGCAATGCTCTCAGCCCTTGAAAGATGCATATAGGAAAACATATGCATAAAGAAAGCATCCATCTTCTGATTTGTGCAACTTTGTAACTGTTCCTGGATTTGTTTGCTCCAACATATAAAAATACTTCGGCAACTCCTTATATGAATCACTCGGACTCCCTCTTATCATTGCCATTGCTATCTCTTTAGCTCTCCATGCTTTCATGTAGCTCACTTCAATCCCGTGTTGCTTTTGTATGTCCTATATTATATCATTTGAGGTGTAAACTTTTTTTGGATTAACATACTTGTCCTTGACTATACTAGCAATTACATCCAAAGTAGCTTGACGTTGTGTTAAGTATATTTCACCATAGTCGCATGTGTGATTACTATTGTAACTTCTCACTTTGAATATGTTTGCCTTGAAAACGACAGAAGATTTGAAACTCCAAGCACAATTGTCATCCATACACATAAGGTGATACCTAGGATTAAAGATCATCAACTTCTAAATACACTTGTATACAAAAATATAACTACATATATACTAATTTTAATACCTATATACAAATATATACTACTTTATACATATTTATACATATATATAACAGAATATACAATTATTTACATACCTTATTGCGCTTGATCTCTTCACCTTGAATTGGAACCTCTCGCGTACAGCCAAGTTCTTCATCATACTGACAACTATCTCTTTATCCTTACAAACTTGATCTTCCTCAACAAATTCGTTCAATATATCATTTATTATACCCGTGTTTTCACTAAATTTCGTATTTTCAATAAATTCGATATCAATAATCTTAGTGCTATAAATTGTGGATACATCTCTAGAATTTGAACTTGTAGCAACCAAACAGCTGGAACTTGTAGCAACCACACAACTAGAACTTGTAGCAACCAAACGATTATCATAAATCTCTTTCACTGTAACAAACAAGGGATATTCAGTGAAATTCAAATTTTTCTTTTTTAATTCAATATACACCTTAACACCTGTATCGTTGTAAATCAGGATCGGTGGCAAACCAACATTTGGGAGAAAGTTAATCTCTATTGTGTTTAACTCACGATCAATCCTAATCTGTTCCGAAATAGCTGCAACTAAATTGTTGTTGCTGAATGTTGACTTGATTATTACACAATCGCTGACGAAATTGATAAACTTGTTTTCTTTCCATTCACCACTATGAAGAACGTAAACTGGAAAAATCTCCATCGAACAAAAAATTAAAATCAAAATTGCAGCAAATATGAAAATTGCGCTGATTTGCAGCAAAAAAAATTTCACTTTTCGTGTTTGATTTGTTGTTAATTCGAGATGAAGTAGAAATTCTAGGGTTTTTGGAGCTGCATTGATCGCAAGATCTCGTTTTTTTAGTATTTGGGGAAGAAGATTGGAAAGAATCAGAGAAAATCCAGCTGAAACAAAGAAAATCCCGCTTCTTACTCCCCAAAAACGGAAATAACACCCCTTTTTTCGGATATGGGCCTCTAATTTTTGGGCTACTCAATTGTAAATTGAAATATGAGCTATAAAGTTGAAAAGGAGGCAACCCAGTTGTTTTAATATGAAATTTTCCCTAAATAATAATGCACTTAATTTTAGTTCGATGAGATTAAATTATTTGTTTAAGGTAGAATTAGTGTGGCAACAATTAGTTAAAGAGAATAGAGAAAAGTTGTTGAGAATATTATATGACATATTCAGTAATGGTTAAAGCCATATATATATATATATATATATATATGTGTGTGTGTGTGTGTGTGTGTGTGAAGAAAGGAATCATAAAGGTAGTAAATAAATAAAAAATCACAACTTAAATGAGATAAAAATTTGAACATATGCCTACGGAAAAGTCTCTCTCTATATATAGAAGAGGGAATAGAAAAGGTGACTTACACCTCTTTTTGGCCAAGGATCCTATTTATCTTTTTTCTCTTTTTTTTTTGGCTTTTTCTCTCATTTTTATATAAGTAAATTAGCTCAATAATGACTTGACTCTCCATGATTGTCCAATTTTATTTTACTCTTTAAACTATTAATGTGTTTACCCACATGAAAAAGGAAATATTTACCAACAGTTGTATTCCAAAAATGACGGTTACGATTCCACCGTTTCATAAACTTAATGCTTACTAACTATTACTAGTATTAGTACCCGCACGATGCGCGAATAATTAAAAATACGATCTACACCATAAAGTTTTTAATATGTTAGTGTTAATACCATCTTTACAACCAAACATTAAAAATATTTTAAGACTCCAGTAAAACTTTCATTCAATCTCCTAATAAATGTTCAATAAAAAATACTGATATATACTATACAACTTGTTTGATATGAATGGTCCACGAAAAATAATGATACTATACAATTTGTTTGATATGAAGCAAGTGCTTAAGAGAACTTTTTGTAGCAAATGCTCATGATATATTGCAGTGCATTTTCCAAAAGTTGTCCTCTATATTGAGGCAATATATTATGTCAAACATTAGCTTATTCAGAATCAAAATGTATGCGGCAATGCATATGCAAAAACTAATTTCCTGCTAAGGCTCTCTCTTTATTATTGTCTGACATTTGTGGTAATTGAAACTTTTTTACTCTTTCTACCATTCCAAAAGCTTTTTCTATTAGCCTAACACTATCTAAAGTCAAAGCTGAGGTAGAAAAAGGACAGGTCAACTGCGGAGAGCTGATAAATTCAGTTATTCAAACCATAGATAAAGACGGTGGAAGGGTTGATTATGCTGAGGTGAGAACTTAAACAATAATAATATATTTCATATGGATATAAATAATAGAATACCAACTGAGAACTCAATTTGTTCCCAATATCAAAAATTGATGAAACCCCTATAATTTTCAGTTTCAATATATGCTTGCTGGTCTTTATTTCAGATTGTTTGGTCCAACCACAAAGTTTTTCATAAAGTACAATCCCATTTCATGTATTTTTATTTTGAAAATACGCATAACATCTCTTCCAAATAGTTGCATGAATTCGATCTCCCCAAAATAAAAAATGCGGAAAGAAATTTAAGTTAGTAAAGTGCATAAGTTGAAAAAATACATCACAACTCAAAAAAAAATAACAACATGTAAAAGAGTATGCACCTTTTCATCTTGAATTAATTCAATTGAATTAGAATTTTCGGGTTTCTCTCGGTTTGGAATGTGCCATAATCTAACAACACGAACCTTCAAATTCCAACTCATTTTGGACATTGAAATTTCGCTGATATAGTTATAGTTTGGAGCCATACTTTGCAGAAGTTTGTGTGAAAGCTAAACCCTAAACAATATAGAGAAGCCAACCCTAAAGAAAAATTGCTTAAATAAAGATTTTGTAAGGAAAGGCTATCATAGTAAATCAATTTTTATGTATATGAAATCCTAATATTTAAAAGGGCATCGGTAAATCAATTTGTATGTGTGAGTTCTGAAAAAATGATACGAATCTTTCAGTTTTTAGCTTTTGGCATTTTTTAATTTTCAACGTTTTTTTTTGTGGTTATTTAAAATTTGTTAACCACCAAACTTTATTTTTTCTTGTCTTATTCCTTTGTCCTCCTGTTCGTTTTTTTAATACTATTTCCTTTAATATAATATAAATGTAATATTCAAAATATTTATTTAATTATTTCTTTCTTAAAAAAGAATACATACCATAACTGAATTATACACAAAATTTAATTAAAAATACCTATAATAATGTATATTATTCGCAAATAAGGTCAGATACAAAGCTTGTACTAAATATAGAATTATTATTTCAACTTAAAATTAATGTATAAGATACAAAACGAAATTTTAATTGATTCTTTCTCAAAAAGAATACCTACTATAATTGAATTATACACAAAATTTAATTAAAAATACCTATAATAATGTATATTATTCGCAAATAAGGTCAGATACAAAGCTTGTACTAAATATAGAATTATTATTTCAACTTAAAATTAATGTATAAGATACAAAACGAAATTTTAATTGATTCTTTCTCAAAAAGAATACCTACTATAATTGAATTATACACAATATTTAATTAAAGAAACCAAAACTCATAAATAAAAAATGTTCATTTAATTATTTTTTTAAAAAAAGAATACCTACCATAATTGAATTATACACAAAATTTAATTAAAGATACCAATAATAATGTATATGATACCTATATTAATGTACATATTGTTCACAAATAAGGTCAGATACAAAGCTTGTACTAAATTTAAAATTATTATTTCAACTTATAATTAATGTGTAAGATACAAAAAAGAAATTTTAATTGATTCTTTCTCAAAAAAGGATACCTACCATAATTGAATTATACACAAATTTAAGTAAAGATACCTATAGCTATAATATATTTGTTTGCTTAATGAAAATTGCATCCCTCTTTGTGTACGTCCAACATATTCTCAAAAAGAGAACATTTTTAGTTTAAAAAAGAATAAATTATACACAAAATTTAATTAAAAATACTTATAGTAATGTATATGATACCTATTTTAATGTATATTGTTTGCAAATAAGGTCAGATACAAAGCTTGTACTAAATATAGAATTATTATTTCAACTTAAAATTATTGTGTAAGATACAAAATGAAATTTTAATTGGTTCTTTCTCTAAAAAGGATATGTACCATAACTGAATTATACATAAATTTAAGTAAAGATACCTATAGCTATAATATATTTATTTGCTTAATGAAAGTTGCACCCCCCTTTGTGTACTTGGACAGATTCTCAAAAAGAGAACATTTTTTGTTTAAATGTTAAAATAATTGGCTTTGATTAATTAAAGAATAAAATTCAATTTACAGAAAATCTTGAACTACTACTTTCATTAAATATTTTCCATTTATAATCCAAATATTTTATGTTGTCTTAAAATTGCCAAGTGACTTCATTTTAGCTTGCCACTTGGCTTAACCACAATGCATACTACTCTCCTTTTAATATAATATAGATGTTACAAAAATAG